ATTAATCAGTGGACCTTTCGATGTTGATAACATTTATAAATTGGAAAGTCCATAAAGTTTAAAGGTATACTGATGTTTAGTAATTGGCCCAAGTCAATTCAAATTGAAATGCGAGAGTGTAATTTCCGCCGTCTAGAGATGCCCTAATCATAAATTTGCTTACCTCAGCCCCAACCATGGTGGGGCTGAGGTGAGTGGTTCCTCAGTCTGTGAATGTCCCTCCCTGGTTCACTTCTCTTTCGAATTCCTGCATCTGCCACTGTGGATTTATTATGTAATTATTTTGCGCTTATTTATAATGTATCTATTGCAATTTCCACTTTATCCTCTCAAACAGTCCTAAGAATGTTCAGAGTGCGCTACATCACAGGGGGAAAAAAGCCCATCTCGAAAAGAAGCACATAGGCTTTTTTCGGGATAGTACAGTACATACGGTACACTGTACATGAATTAAAAAAAAAAAAACAACAACAAACAAAACAAAATAAATTAAAAACAAGCTTGGTTTACACAGTAGATTAGGTGATTTAATGCTTTTTTCGAGGCTAATTTTGCAAACTTAAGGGGGGGCTTCAATTAAAAATGGGCTTCTTCTCGATATTAAGCCCATTGGGCTTCAATTCGGTATACTGCAGGCCTAATCGTTATCCAAAAGAACCTATAGGAATTAGTTCGCGTTTTGAAACTTAAATCATAAGCTTATATTATAATGACCCATCACAGTTGGAGTGGAGTTGAACATAGCTTGGTGGTTAAGATGCTTTCCTTCCAATCCTAGGGTCCTGTATTTAATAATAATTTTATTTGGAACTACAGTACACTTTTTTCATCAGTGGCACACTTCTTAATGTAAAATGTTTGGGCAATGATGCGGCTGATGAGCACTGCATATAGAAATCCCAGCGGAGCGTACATGTGTCTTGTGTCTTCTGCTTGATATGTTTTTTTATTTGGCTACTTTTAAATCATCCACGCTTTCTATGTTGGCAATTCACTTGAGTAACTGTACAAATATTACCAGAATGTTGACTTTTTAGTGAACTTTCTAGGACGGGTGTTATCTAGCAGATTTCTGTATTGGCAATTCACTTGAATAACTTAATAGTAGAGCGGCTAAGGAGAAAAATCATGCACTTTTGGAAGCATGAAACTTCCCACAGTGATACTATGACACCAAAGGATCATTAAAAAAACAGACCCCAAAAAATAAGCCGCTTAGTGGCCGCCATCTTGAAATCCAAAATGGCCGCCAAAATATTGGATTTTTATCAATAATCTTCATATCTACAGCACCTAGCACTCTCATTCAAAGGTCTTTACCTATGTTTTCAATATCAGGGAGTATTATGCAATCATCAGAAATTATGTCAGATGGCCGCCATATTTGATTTCAAGATGGCTGCCAAAATATTGTTATTTGTGTTATTATCTTTTAATATGTACAGTAACGTAACACAGTCAATCACACGGTTAACCATATTTTTAATATCAGAGAGTATCATGCAATCATCAGGAAATTATGTTGGAAGGCCGCCATACTGGATTTCAAGATGGCTACCAATGAAAGCTCCTTTTTCAGTTGTATGAAAAAGTTTCTCGAACGTGTAGCCACTATCTCGGTGTCGTATCAGTAGGTCATATCAGTACACCACAGAGTCCTATACGCTAAAGGGGCATATCTCACTCCCAGATACTTCTCTCATACGACT